AAAAAAAAAACAATTTAAAAAAAAAAAAGACAAGGGCTCACTATGTAGTTTAGGAGATTTTGTGGTCTCAGTCTTGAGAATGTTGGGATTATAAAACTGAGCCTTTTAGGAATTTAAAAATTTATAAAGCTGGGGATAGTAACACATGCCTATTTATTGCAGCTACCTGGGAGGCTGAGACAGGGTTGCCAAGTTCAAGGCTAGCCTAAGCAGTTTCGTGAGACTTTTTTTTTTGGTGGAACCCGGAATTGAACTGAGGCCCTTGTGCTTGCCAGGGAAGTGCTTATTCTACTGAGCCATCTCCCCAGCCCACTTTAGTGAGACTCTGTCTCAAGGAAAAAAGAAAAGTTTTTATCTTTTATTTATTTATTTTTGTACTTTAGGGAAGGGTCTACAGGGTTTTCTGGGTCTCACTACTAGATTGGACTCATAGTGATCCACCTGTTTACAGCCTCCCAAGAAGCTGGGATTATAGGTGCATGCTACCATGCTCAGTCTCTGTTTTTATCTTTTAAACAAATATATATATATCAGGGATATGGTTTACTGGGAAAATACTTGCTTAGTATGTGCAAAGCCCTGGGTTTGATTCCAGTTTCCAGGGGCATACCCCGGTTCACAAACCTGACGCTTTCCATAATTCTAGTCACAAACTGAGTTGGATGAGAAACAAATTCAAAGGTTAGTTCAATGTTGGCCTTACGGGAAAATCTGATTTTGTTCTCATCCAGTTCAGTTTGCTATCAAAATCAGAGAGAGAATTGAGTTTGTGAACCGAGTAGCATTTACAACCAAAAAACTCTCCAAACCAAGAAAACTTTAAAAGTTCTCAAATAGTGAACTTTCAAAGAAAAAGAGAATTTGTTTTATTAGACACTGACATCCAGTACTGACAACATGACAATATAAAAACATGGTGAAGTTTGCAAGACAGCAGACAACAGATCAATGGAATGTATGGCAAACATAGAGACAAACGTGCACACAGAAGCTTAGTAAATGATAAAGTTAGGATGAAGTCGATGTGGAAAGGATGGATTATTTAGTAAATGATGTTAAACCTGAAAATAAAGCTGCTCCTTACTTTATTTCACACATAAAAATAATTTGTACATGAACTAGAGATTTATTATGTGAAGGACAAAATTATAAAATTAATACACAAATACAGACAATCTCTATGACTTAGCAAGAATGGCTTTTTTTTTTTCTCTACTGGGGATTGAACATAGGGGCTTCACAGCGAGCCACATTCCCTCACCTTCCAGTGTGTTGGAATTACTTAAGAATGGATTTCTTAAATAGAACTTCATGTAGCAAGACATTTCATTAATCTGGTTATATATCAAACCTATGAATTTCTATTTAAGGAAGGACTCATGCACTAAGTTAAAAGACTTGCTCATGATTAAAGCTGACAAAACCTATAAATCATACAATAAAATCCTACCAACTAAGTAAGAAAAAACCCCAGAAAATGACAAGGAAATACAAGCCAAGGATATGTATGTATAATTCCAAAAGCAGAATAACAGCCAAACTCATTAATAACCATAGCAATAAAAATAAAGCAATGCACTATTCACTCTGTAAAACTGGCCAAAAAATCCCCCCAAAATAAAAAAATACAAAAAACAACATCAACAAAGTAAAAGGCAGTGAAACAGTCATGATAGAAAAAGCAGAAATACAGATCTAGGAGCCCTTATGCCTGCTACGGGAAGAGAGCCAGGTGCAGCTCTTCTGGGAACGGTCTTGTCCCACTCAGTCACAACGTCTCTTGTCCTACAAGAGCTAGGGACAGGTCGTTCCCTGCAGGGTAACTAGAGGTGGCAGGAAGAGGAAGGCGGTCTGGGTGTCTGCCATGTACTAGACAAACACGGAGGAAGGAGCAAGCGCTAGGAGGCCGATGCAGGTGGGAGATGGAGCAGTTGAAAGTAACAAAGAAGACCTATTCATAGCTGTGTCATTTAGATTTGTACAAATTAAAAACACATGCACATAAAATAGTACTGCTCATTTTAAAGTAGGGTCTACATTAACTACATCCAAATGGTTTCCTATAGGAAGGAGGCCAATAGGAATAAAACAGAGAAACAAGCAAGAGAACAGCTTTATGTGGAAGAACGATGGTGATGAGGCAAGAGTGAAGAAAGTAAGTCTCTGCCCTGCAAGAGCTCTTTCAGCCAGGTCACCGCCCAGACTTAAGAAGCCCCGAGTCAGGTCCGTACCCGAGTCTCCAGGACACTGATGGTCTGGGCCTGGCCGCTTCTGGCTGCCACCAGCTGCTGTCTGGCATCCTCCAAATTCCGCTCAGCAACTGTTTTCTGTAAGTTCAAAGATGAGCAAAGGAAGTCATTTCTCTGTCGAGTAACTATTAACTATTACTGATGCCTGCAAAACCATGACTGTGTTATAGAAAGGGGACAAAAACTACAAGACCCAAAAAGCAGCAAATTGAGATACAATCCATAGATCAAAGCCACACACAGATGCATTTGGCACAGTCCTCGGTCACTGGGTTTGGGTCAAATGACTAATAATGCAGTAAGTGGATGCAGTGGCGGTATACAGACAGAGACAGGGCCAGGGCAAGAGGGAGTTCCCGAGGCAGCCAGTGGCTGGGGAGGCAGGGGGCCCTGCTGGGAACAGAGGAGCTCCCTGCCTTCAGGAAATGACCACTTCTAAAGGCTAGGTGATAAGAAAGAAGAGCACAAGGTGGGCAAAAAAGTCAGATAAGGAGCTTTATAATGCTGCAGGAAAAAGCCTGAATGTTTTCTGTAGGCAGCATTTTTCTCTCTCCTTCCTTCCTTCCTTCCTTCCTTCCTTCCTTCCTTCCTTCCTTCCTTCCTTCCTTCCTTCGGTGCTTTATAATGCTGCAGGAAAAAGCCTGGATGTTTTCTCTAGGCAGCATTTTTCTTTCTCTCTCCTTCCTCCCTCCCTCCCCCCCTCTTTTCTTTTCTTTTCTTTTCTTTTCTTTTCTTTTCTTTTCTTTTCTTTTCTTTCTTTCTTTCTTTCTTTCTTTCTTTCTTTCGACACAGGGTCATGCTATGAAGTTTGGGCTGGCCTTGTGCTCACTTTTGTAGCTCCCAAGCTGGTCTCGAACTTGCAACAATCCTCTTGTCTCAACCTCCCACATGCTGGGGTTATAGGTGTGTGCAACTATACCCGGCTCTGTAGGCAACATTTTTCAAAGTAGTGTTTTCCAAATTTTGGGATTAGATTTACCTGGGGACAGTTATTCAACTTAAAACCTTATACCAGGCTTACTGAAATCAGTATTTCAGGGGTTGGGCTGAAAATATATGCTTTAAACAAACTCCTAAGAAACTCCTGTGCATTCTATAAACTTATTGTAGTAACAATGGTATCACAATAATAATAAAAATTGCTGATACTGAGGCCCTACCCTGTTCCAGTCATCATCCTTTTTGCCTTTCTTTGGTAGTGTAGACTGGCACCAGGGCCTTCACACTTAGTTCCATTCTCAGCCCTTTTCTATTTTGAGACACTGAATGGAGACAGAAAGTGAGGGCCATGACATAAGCCTAAGGCCTTACTTTGTCACCTGTGTCACGATGAGGCCAGTAACTGGGACAGGAAGAGGTGGGAGAAGCAGGCAGAGATCAGCCCCAGGCCTCATGAGTTTAGCTACATCACTAGGCAAGAGGCCGACTGCCAAAAGGCCCTCTGAAAATTGCTGCCCAAGCTCATCTTGCTTGTGCCAAAGAGAGACAGCAACAATTTTCCTTGCCCAAAAGGGCACAGGCCAGGGTGGGCAGGAAGACACATAGTGCAGGTGTGTAAATCATCAGCAGATCTGGTCTGAACAAAGTTCTCCACTCCCTGAGGAATGCACAGGCGCACAGGTACACAAGCTGTTTTTCAGTTAAATGCTTTACTACTGAGCTAGAGCCCCTATACAGGCTGCTTCCCCACCCCCCCTTGTTTAGCTTTTTTTTTTTTTCATTTAAAAAATTTATTTATTTATTTAT